ATCTTACCTCTGCTGTGTTTCTGCTGCTGTCGAGTTAAACACTAACTGAGTCTGCTGAAAGAACAAACAGACTGATTGCAGTGCAATTTTGTAAAACTCAGAACAGATAGGACAGTGTTTTATTGTTGCTGACAACAATCAAAAGCCTTTATAACTGCTGACCTCTGTTACAGTTATAAACAGTTATAAATGTTTCGCCGTAGTGGAGTACAAAGACATGATGGTGTAGAAAAAAGCACATTTGATGTGGAAGGATCCACATTTTAATTTGAGAAACAATACTTTTCTTGTTTTCAACAAAAAAAGTAATTATTGATTACATTTTATTATCTTTACTGGCATTAAAACTGCAGCATGTAAGTGTTACAAATATATGTTATTGCATATTGGCTAAAACTATTACCATGAAGTCACCAGGAAGGAGTGTCTTGGCGCTGTCAACCACATTCATGTATGCGCTGCTCCAATGTCCTAGTGGTTGAAAAGCAACTTACCATTATAGTAAAACGTTCAGCCGCTATTATCAGCTGCCATGCTAGTTTGCTTTAAAACCCATGGCGGGCTTTATTTCATCTGTTTAGTGCATTAGCACTCTTTTTTTTATTTAAGTCTAAAACCACCTCAAGTGAGTGTAAAAACACTTGAGGTGAAATTGAGAAAATTGTTTCAAATTTTGCCATTTTCATCAACCTTTTCTAATTTCATCCCATAGTTCTTATGGGGGTCAAGTTCTAATATGATAGACCCTCTTGTTTAGGGTTAAGGATTAGCTTTAGTTAAAAGGTTTAAAGTAAGCTTTATAAACTAGTTTAAAAGTTCAAAATCAGTTTTCAATTTGTGACTGAACTATATATATAAAAAAAGCTAAGCACAAAACTAAAAGTACATATATTATATCCATAATAACAGACTTGTTTCTTGTTATCATGTGTATTCATCACTATTCAACTCAAGTCTTTGTCTCTTTCTTTATTAGTTGCAAAACATTCATTCTACTGTGCAGCTTCATTAAAGCAAAAAATAAAATAAATCAAAGTTCTTTTTGCCCAATATTTTTATTGTTAAAGTTTATAATCTAATGAATTATGATGACTTTATGTATTGGAGCATACAATCATCAGGACATTCTTTATTTATTTTGAATTTGCTGATCTCTAAACTATGACAACAAAATGACAAGAAGTAAGATTAGCACCACGACCAGAACAAATGGAAGAACAATTTTCCAATAAGGGAAACAGCATTTATCAAGCCTTTCAATGAGACCCGGCTCCATGTGTCTGATCTTCTCGATCTGTTGGTTCTGAGACCGTTGATTTAATTCACAGATCAGTTGATCAACTGCCTCAATATTTTTAGCACACGCCAGCAATCCTGGCACCGTCTCATGGAAGAGAACATGAACATCCAGGATGACGTTGGGATATTTGTCAGACCAGTTCACTCCAGCTGTGGAGTAGCCCTCATCTCGCGTGTGGTGCATCAGAACCAGAATGACATTTTGATCTCCTGTTAAAACAAGAATAAAATGAGGTGAAGGGAAGGTTTTGCATTCTTAGACTGTGCGGTTGTTTTATTTCTTGATTAGACGGATGTCTAAACCAGTGGATTATAAAACTGGTACCTGGAACCTTGGTCATGGCCGCTTCCACATCTGACCCAACGCGAGAGGTGATGGGACAGAAAACGATGATGAAGAGACTTTCCATCCAGTGTGTGATGGTCAGCTGTATCCTCCTCTTCATTTTACTCAGCAGCTCTTCATCGGCACCAAACGTCTCCCCACAAGTGATGGTGTGGACTTTAACTAAACGAAATTACAAAATACAATAGATGAATTTTCAGTAATAAGCAATAAATTATTACTTTATTAATGATTTATTAATAAAGTACTGTTAGCAGTTATTAATTATTTGTAATAAGTAATTACCTACTGATAAGTAAGTATTAGTTACTTAATAAGTTACTTATTAGTAGTATTAACTACTCCTACTAACATTTAATTATATTTTAATTATTTTTTTTTTATTAAAATGAATTAAAAACATTCATTTTTATTTTAAAATGAATGTTTTAAATTTTTAAATTAAATCTGACATATTTTCATGATGTATTCATGTTGATTAATATGCATTGTCCTCTTTATGAAATAAATTCATAAAAATTAAAATCAGAACTGGTATATGACATCTGTCAGTGTGGTTCCTGCAACAGTGATGCTCACCTCCTGAAGTCTGATACATGTTGACGTCTAATAAGAGAAACAAAGCAGTATGAGCAGTTTGGCATTTCTGCAGAGATGAAACATGAGTGTTAACTCTGTAAACTGATAGCATTTAATTGACTCAGAGGCATTCAGATGCTTTCACTTGAACAGTAAACTGAGACCAGATAATTTGGCAGCAGAGGAAAAATAAAACCACTCTCAGAAAAGTCAGAAGTCTTAAGTTCTTGGATTTCTCCAACATGTCCAGTTTAATTTGTTTTAAACAAAGTTACCAAAAGCGTAAACAGAATCAATCCTAAAGTCAGAATAGATCTGACCTTTGACACTGATTGCAGTGTCAAAGGGCAGATATGTGACATATCATTATGAAGATTTATGTAATGCTAATTTTCCAGACACCAAAAAATCTGCTGTGTGAGATTTTAAAGCAGTTTGGCTGTTTTTAGAAATAAAGACAAAGACTGAAGTTCCAAAATGTGCAAAATTAGAAAGCTCATAAGTGCTGTCAAAAATCAGCAGCACTTATGAGCTTTGAATCATAAGTGCAGCACTTATGAGCAGCACTTATGAGCTTTGTTCCTGTAATTTAATGTTCCATTTTCACTCTTACAACACATTATTTTATTTCTTGAATAAAGTGAAAGGTTTATTCAATATACCATACAATGTAAAATAAATAAAAAAAATAAAAAAACCAACAAACAAAAGAGGAAATAAAATGTTGCAGTCATAGAAAAAACAACAGTGTTTGATGTTTCCTACCTTTGCTGTAAATGTGTGGCTCCAGAGAAACAAACAAGCAGAAATAGTTTCTTCGTGCAGCTTGCGGTGTGGGAGCTGCAGCATGAAGTGACTGGGATCAACTTGAACCAGGGGCTATAAAAAACTCAGGCACTTTCACTTTCATTCTTAGTGAGATGGAAAGCACATGTCTTATGTGCTTTCCATCTTTAGGTCATTACAACATATCATATTGTGTCAAATGATCAAGTTGCTTTGTCAAGATATACATTTACTTAAACTTAGAAGTTTTGAAACATTGATGGGTTTTTTTTTGTTGAGGCAACAAACATACATTTCAATCTGGAGAGACTCAGACGGAGAGAGAAAAACAATTAGAAGAGTTTAATGATATACAGGAATTGGAATCTTTGGCGCTCGGGCCCGGCTGGGGAAATAGATTATCACAACGTTAGCGATAAGTGCGTTCCCAGCACTGATGGGGACGTCCTCCCACCAAAAGAAAGTCGAGGCTGCGGAATAAATGACAGGACGCAGGCGAAACAGAGTAGCGCCAACTTAGGTGTTAAGTTAATAGCAGAAACAGAAGGAGGTGACATGGCAGCGTAAGGAGAGGAAAAGGTGAAGACTTGTGGGGATGCAACAGGGCATGGAGTAGTGATATACAAAGAAGGTATTGTATATATTTAATATTTTGTTTTGAAAAAAAATATTTTTTTAAATATTTTAAAGTATTTTTTTGCTTTATGCATACTACATTTTTTTCTTCTCTTCTGATACAACTAAAATACAACTAAAATGTGTTTGATAGCAGTCATTGGAACTTCAGTCTTTGTCTTTATTTCTAAAAACAGCCCAACTGCTTTAAAATCTCACACAGCAGATTTTTTTGGTGTCTGTAAAATTATCATTTTATAAACCTTCATAATGAAATGACACAAATCAGCAGGCACTGCTACTCACCCAGCAACCCCAGTAAAGCCCAGCTTTTGCATCTGCATCAACATTTGAAGAACATTTTTCACAGAAAATCTGTGTTAAAATTGGCAGGGGAACTTTTTTTTTTACAGGTGATTTTTTTTGCAGGTTAAATTTTGAAGATGAGTTATGCAGATTAATATTTGCTGCTTTTAAAGTAAAAAAAAGAAAGAAAGATTGTCACAGAATAAAATTCAGTGTCTGTGAGAAAGCACACGTCTTGCCTAAAAACTCAATGAGACAAAAGTTTAACAAACTTCGATTTTAGAAGATTGTTGCTGTGTCAAAACTGAAACCTTTTTTGAATAAATGAGTAAGATCTTCTTAGAAATCACATGGTCTACAAAATGGAAAGAGAAACGAGAAAAATACTATAAAATTCTTGAACTCTTACTTTTATCAGACCTGTAACAGTTCTCTCTCTGCTGCAGCTTATCTTCTTCTAAGGTTGATTTTTTTTAAACCTCCATTTAAAAAAAAACACACACACTGGAAAGAAGGAGAAAGACGATTCAAGATTTTTACACTCAGAAGAGCGGAGAGAGAGGCCAAAGACATCTCCATCTTAGTCTTTGATGCCACACTCTGAAGCATGCTCTTCAGCAGTACCTTTTACTGCCATTAGGATGGTCACTAGTTACAAGATTGACAGCTGCAAACAGAAACCCAGCTGCCAAACACACAGTCAGTCATAAGTCTATTCCAAATGATGAAGTTTTCCTGCACTTTGTGCATCTGTGGTCTTAAGCGCAGTTCCGGTGCCATAAACTATGACTCAGCCTTTGTTGTTCACTTCTCAGGTCACCTTGGCTTGCAGGTCGTCTGCTTTCCATTTGGCATCATCGCCTCCTGAGAACATTACTAAAAGGTACACAGTCTGGGAGCAAATAGTCTCCCAGACTATTTGCAGACTATTATGAATACATAATCCTTAGTATTCATATTGGTAATTAATTTAAACTTTTCAGACATTTTCTAAAGTTGTTACATTTGTCATTTGGCTACTTGGGTTTGGGTTCTTGTTTGGTGGTACTAGGATTGTTTTTGAAGTGGA